CATTGAGGTTTTTCATCTGCAGTGGTGCGACGACGACGCGCGCGAGCGGCGAGGGAAAGGGTTCAGGGGAAGTAGCATGAACCACCATGGAAACAAACAAAGAAAGAGTGGAGTGACAGCTTGTACAACAGTTCGGTAGGTACGTTTGCAGCCCCCCCCAGTGGCCTCTTCGTTGGCCATCCGCCACTGGGGAGGGGGATGGCCCCCTGCATTCAAAACTCTTAGTTACAAAGGTGGAACCCTTAGATACAGGGGGTGACACACACAAACCGCCGATTCCGGCGCAAGTGTGTAGAACGTTAAAGGTGGAACTTTGCACAGAAAGCGCCAATATTGGCGCTGTGAAAAACTAATAGGCACCTAAAAAGCCTTAGAAAGACAGAAAAAGCAAACAAAACAAAAGCAGATTAAGAGGGCAAGAAAGAAAGATAGGGGTAGTTACGAGGCCCACTTAGTTAAATGAAAGTAGAGCGCGAGCGGGACATTTGTCTTAGACCGCCCGGGTAGCTAGCAATAGGCTAAAAGAAACAGAAGGAAAGGCACCAACACACAAGTGTGTTGAGTGCGATTTCCTTCTGTTTCCCGAGTAGCGGGTGGGGTAGCAACGGAGGCCCAGGGGTAGGGAGGGGAAAATGCACGATTAATTCGTCCGGCCTGTGAATACTTAGCAGCACATGCACATGTGAATACTTAGCCGTTGCAGGCGTTTCGAAACTGTCAGTTCCCGTGGTAAGGCCCGGCGGCCGTTGTGGCAGTTAATTCAGTGGTTGTGTCGGTGACTTCCAGTGGAGTTCCTGTGAAAAGTGGTGAGGTCCGTTAGTGCTTTCACGATGAAACAGTGCCCCAATGACGGGGATCACACTCAGCACCCGAGTGGGACGGCTGAGCGAAACACACTTCGACAATTGTATTCAGTTAACTCAGTTCCCACGCTGGGAAGGATGGCGGTGGAACAGCATGGTGAAAGGTCCAAAGACTTGAAGGTGTTTTAACATTGAGGTT